AAGGTCTCCCTGTACTCTTGTGAATGACAGAAGTTTAGCTGTCATGGAAATATACAGAATCTACAACTAGGAAAGAATTTTTAGTTGCTATTCTTAAACGTACATATTTTTTTCCTCCAATGCTCTTACAGACACTCAGTCATTAAATACTCAACCCTAGACTGAGCTTAGTCTGAGTATGCTTCACTTCATACAAGCACTACAGTATTATAGATCAAAATTCCAAACCTTTAGCCACAGCTAGTCTTTATGACTCAAGTTTTATGGAATATTATTTTCAGATGATTCTGATAAGCTGATCGCTTAAACAGAATGGCTCTTTAAGACACCTCTTGACAGGTACCCCAGAAAGGGGGGAATGGGTTCAAGCTGTCTCAGAAGGCTGAATTTGTGCACCTGATCCTATAAGAAAAGTATTTAACATAAGCAGCTGAGAGTTTTCTTGGCTTAAAGGAAAATAAGACCAGAGAAAGGCCAGTAGGCAAACACTCTAATCAGTACGTGCGGTCCACCACCACAAGACGCAGCAAATCAAACCTCTCTAAAAGGCATCACAAACAAAAGCAAGTGATCAGAGCATACAGCCTAATACTTCACCACTCATCAGCTCAGCAACGTTAGCACATGCTCAGATTATCCTAATTTGTTGTAAATCAAGATAAAAATGCATTAGCTCAAACAACTTTAAGGCAAAACCAGCTGTAGCTGACACACACGCAGCAAGTGCAGCTGTGTTTTGGAGTGCACACATGAGCGTTTCGCGCTGATGGACAAATTGGTAGGCTCACTACCTTTATTGTGCAATTTGATCTGTTCTCATTCCACAAGCCCACCACAGCCTTGCTCTTTTTTGAGATAATGAGAGATTACATTGACCAAAAAAACCCCAAATCCAAGTACCTCACCAGAAGATAGAGAAGGGCTGACATAGTCTGCCCAGTACCTCAGTTTTCCACAGAGTTTGTTGCATAGAAAGAAATTCTGAGAGGATGGTTCACAGATTCACAGTCTTCACTCTGAATAAGTCACTAGATAATGTATGGCAAACTTGTGCCTAGCACACAATTTGAAGCAGCTAAGCAAACCTCCTTACAGTTAAAAAGTGAATATTAGTGCCAGAAATACAGAAGATTATCATACATCTCTCCCAATTAATTTTTGTAGTTTACAATAACACCCCCTACCTAAGGAAAGACCATTTCAGACTTTTATAACACCAGTTATAATGAGTAAGCAATGTCCTATATTTCTATTCAGTAGAATTAGTATAACCACGTTACAGCCAATGTGACTTCTGAGAGGAAGGAAAACATAACAATGAAATCCAGACTTCTGGCTACTTTGAGCAATTTTCCTTCAAAACTGATTATTTCCTGCCAGGGTGAATTTTACTGGCTCCATAAGTAGAGTGAAGAAACTCGCTAGTTCCATAAAACTTCATATGAATCTTTTACTTGACTTCTCAACTTAGATAAAACAGCACAGTAATTCACATAAAATGCAAGGCTTGTGAAACTGTTCTGCAGTGCTTCACTGAATAGTGGGCTTGTTTTCAGGGAACTGTGGAAATGACTTCCCAGATTCCGTATCTGACACTTCTCTTACTTCCTCAACAACTTTCTTTGCCGTGTATCTTATCAGTCAGAAGCTGTGATGCAGGAACTTTTACTAGGGCTTAACACAACCACAGACGAATACACTCAAAACTCTTTCCTTATTTTCATGCTTATTTTAGAGATTAAATTAAAAAAAATATACTTTATTTGGGGTTTGGGAGGAACCAACAACAAAACAACCAAGCAGAGGCAAACCCCACAACACGAGGAACACTGGCCACCCCCATTCATACTATCACAGTTACTTAGAAGCAGAGATCTTAAAAAAATCCAGTGTGTTGTGACTGTGCTCTAGCCTATCATTCAAAATAAACCCTGTTTTCTCACTTATTCTCTTCTTTGCTCTCAAATGAGGCAAAACAAAGAGGCTACTTTTTCAGACTCTGTTACCAAGTGATAATTCTTTTCTATGATTTTCTTTAAGGTATCTTTGTGGGTTTCATTTCTTGTTAAGTAAAAATAAAGAGACTGCATGGTTTCCACAACATGAAATACACACCCAAGCACACCCTGAAACGGTGTGACAGACTACTGCAAGAATCATCAACAGAGGAATCAGGTTGATATTAAACAAAAAAAGACCTATGGGAGGCCCAGAATGAAACTTTCTGTTTCTTCTTTAAAAAGTAATCAAGTTAAGCAGGAAAGCAGCACACCCCGACACACACACACACACAGTGCTATCTAATAATCCACTCACCATTCTGTCCACCCTTCTCTGTGCTCTTACTCTATCTCCTGACATCCTAACCCAGCCTTTCCTTTTCCTATCCCCTTCCCCAGCATTAATTTTCTACCTCACCTCCTCAGTCTCTCAGTACTTACTTCTTAAGTATCTCTCAGCTATCCTATAGGTGTTCCTCAGGTAGAAAGCCAACTTAGCACTGCACAGATAGTTTTGAGCAATACCTCTACAACTCAGCATTATTATTAGGTAGCAACAGTCTTATCACAAGCTGACAGTAATTACAAACTACAAATTTTGAGGCTTAGTAACCATGCTGATGGTGGGAGAATCCTGGGGCTATGCAAGCTATTACTTGGCTAGAACTAAGACTGCTCAAAGAGAGTACCAGCTCTTAAGAGTTATATGCATGTAATTCACCTGTAAGAAAGGAATTCAATTTAATTTGATTGATGCATGGGCACCACAACCAGCAGACCAATCAGCTGATAAATAGATTCCACTCTTGCAGTGGAAGATCCTAAAATACATTCTGAGAACGGCCAGGTTCTCAAATAATGACACAAAATTCAGAGCAGAAAAGGAGTTGCTTCAATGGTGTGTGCTTTTATGGGCTACTATAGTGTAACAATTTATTACACGAATCACAACAGTCTCACTGATACCTTGTTTCTTTTGTTTGTTCCCTGAGTTAATTTTCTAAGGGGTCGTTATGCAAAACTCTGCAGCTTCTTCGGATTAGGCTCTGTTTTTCATTCTTTGCATCCCCATCATGACTGGAGACTCTAAATGCAGCTGCAATACCTAAAAATACATAAATGCCTTTTTTGCATGAGGCACTTTATTACAGAGATGTCAGCCTGTGCCCCTTGGATGAAAAAACGCTGATATTTAGACTTTTCACCCTACCTTGAGACAAAACCAATGCTGAAATATTCAGAGTTTTTCATAAAAGGCAAATTCCATTTTTCAATCAGCTCTACAGAGACGCATTAGAACACACAGGCCATCGCCTTCCACATGCAAGAGTATTCCAAATACCACATTATTCAGTGACTTTTCCAGACTGGTTAGACTTCCACGACCTGTTTTTGTTAGTTTCCCGCTGCTGCAAATGTGATTATTTGATTTCTCTCGACTGAAACGCACAGAGACACATTCACAGGATATAAACCCATGTTCTTTATCCAAGAAAGAAAAAGAACAGTGACGTGAAAGAATTCTTGCGAGAAGTTTTCCGGTGTAAAGTGAAATATCTCTTCTGTGCGACATGGAGCACATGTATCTCCAAAAATATCCCTCACTAAAATAAAACAGGGGTCTGGAATTCACTGAAACTGCTTTCTTCCTCTACGCCAAAGCCCTCCATTCCAGTGATGCTGTATTAAACCTGAGAGGCCTGTATATAAAAAGAATATCATATATGACATATTACACACTGTATATATATATATAAAATTTTTAATTATATTCCAACAACTTCAAGTTTCTGTCGCTTTTTCATTTCATTAAACACTAAGTAATGTCCCAAAGTGCTGCAACTGTACGTATCTGCCAAGTTTGCATGCTCCATCTTCTCTTCAACACATATTATTTTATAATACACTTTGGAATGTACAGGCAAAGCAGATGATAGCTCAGTATGAATTTATTAATTACAAAAGCAATTCCATTGTTAACAATGCAACAAATCTCAAGACACCTGTAGAAAACTTCGTGTTTATTACTCCAGAAATAGCTAACAGAAATCTTAAAAGAGATTTTTCAGGAGAAAAACACGCATTTTAGAATTATACCTTATTTTAAAGTATCACAGACGTTGAGGGGCTCTTATGAGCTCCTTCAACCAGAAGGGCCATGGAATTTCACTATAGTGCCTGCATTAAGCCCTTAACCTCCAGCTGATCTAGACCATCAAGCCTGTAACCCCATGTTTTTTTTTAAATAGATGACTGAAATAAGAAAATATGATAGTAACTCAGATGTTTTTGTGAGAGTACTTGAGAAAGATTTTTCCAAAGGAACCGTCTAGGTCAGTCCACAGGGTGATCTAAAGAGGGGAGCCTCGTATCTAAACCCTTACTTACAGTTTTCTTAATCTGCCTTTTGCTTAATTTTCCAAGGGTGATGTGAGTCAGGGAAGCTGATTGAATTTACCTTTAGGGCAAGAATCTGTGGACATGGGACAAGGTCTGAGTGTGTTCCTAGCGAGACACGGAACTCTAACGGGTTCAGTGGCTCTGAGTTCACACACTTCAGTTTCCCTTAGTGGAAAAGAAAGCAGTAGAAGCAAGTTGTCGCTCTCTTTATTGTTCTACACCTCTTAGCACAGACGGACAGTCCGGCCGAGGGAGGTAATTGCCTTGCCTTGCTCGCACCCCGAGATCCGTGTGAGGATTTGGGCGATGAATGATAATAAAGATCTATTAGAAAGCGTCCAAAAGAGGGCTGCGAAAATGGGGAAGGGCCCAGAGGGTGAGGCTTTAGTTAGAAAAAAAACCCAAAGCCAAAAAAAACCCCAAACAAACAAAACAAACAAACAAAAACCCAAACAAATCAAAAAACCCCGAACTCAACATTTACTCGCGCCCGGATTGACGTCCCGCTCAGCCAATGGGACCGCAAGCACCGCCCCCCGCGCTCTCTCCGATTGGCCGGCGCGGAGGGGGCGGGGCGTCGCTCGAAGCGTGGCGCGCCAAGGCCGGGCCATGGCGGCCGTGCTGGGCCGGGTGGCGGAGCTGCCCGCGCTGCTCGCCCTGTGCCGCTCGCCCTTGGTGCGGCGCTGGGACCCCGCGGCGCCGGGCAGGGCCCTCGAGTGGGGCCGCTACTTCCAGCACCTCCACGGCCGCTGCCGTGCGCGGCCGCGGCTCCGAGAGGCCCTCGGGCGGCGGCTGCGCCGGGCCCAGCCGCGCCCGCCCGCGCTCGGCTTCTCCGCCCTGGGCCGCTGCCCGGAGCTGCTGGGGCTGGCGCTGCTGGAGAACCGCGCTCTGCCGCCCGCCGCCTGCCGCCGCCTGCTCCGCTGTCTACTGCTGCCTGCGAGCGGGGCTGAGCCCCCCGGGCTGGCGCTGCTCGCCCGCCGCAAGGCCGCGGCCCGCCTGCTGGAGCCGCCGCGCCGCCCCGGGGACACCGAGCCGCGGGTGCGGGCGGAGGCGCAGCTGCTGCTGGGCCGGCTGCGGGAGGAGGAGGAGGAGCAGGAGGAGGAGCAGGAGCGGGCGCGGTGGCTGTGCGGGGTCCTGGAGCGGCTCCCCCCGCCCCGCGCCTTCGCCGTGGTGGCGGCGGCGCTGGCCCTGCTCGGGGCCGGGGATGGGGAGCAGGATGGGAGCGGCCCGGATGGAGATGGGTTCTGTGCCGGGCTGCTGCTTTCCTGGCTGCTGGGGAACCTGGAGCGGTTCTCTGCCTTCTGCCTTTGCCTCCCGGGTTCCCTTCTTGCTTCCCTAGCTGGTCATTATCCCCAGTTGAGCAGAGCTTATTTGGACCTCCTATCCGGCTGGGGAAGCCACTTGCACTATGACCCCTTGCAGGGGCGGTGGGTTAAAAGTTGCCTTGAGAAAGCTGAATTGTCCTGGGAGGAGCTGAGGGAGCGCTTCAGTTGCCTCTGTCGGGGATCTGCACTGCTCAGGGAACAGACCCAAGCCGCTCTGAAACTCCTGAAGACACGAGATGGAGATTTCGAAGTCCGTGGCCTAAGTGTGTGGACTGACTTGCTGATGGAAGTAGAGGAATGAAGTAGGGTCCTAATGCGTGAGCACGAAAGCAACATGAAAACATATAGAGTCAAGCAAATCTGGTTAACCCTATTTGGTATGAGAGGCAACACAACTATACCTCACTTTGAAAACCAGCATGTGACTGCTGATCACACTGATTCTGACTGCATTTGAAGTCTTTCAAGGAGGCCTGATCCTTGTAGTTGCACTGTCACGTCTGGTCACCACAGGAAACACTGCCCTTCTCAGTACTTGCTGTTTAACTGCCTAATAAAATGAAGAAAACAATTCCTGTTTCGAGTGTGGAGTAGTTTTCTATTTAGGAAATGTTATGGCTCAGGTGTGGTCATGGTAGGCATTTCTCTAAATTTTGGAGACTGACTGAAAGCTGTAAGGGAGGGTGGAGTTTCAAATGTGAAACCTTCAGATTCAGGGTTCATTTAGTAGTGGTTGCCTTCTTTGGGCCGTCTGCTCTGGTGGCCTCTCATGATTTTATAGCTCCTGCACATGACTTAGCCCCTGGGTCCAAGTGAAGAAAGTGAGAGGCAGCCAACTGGAAAGCTTCTTGAAAAGTTCTAAAATTAGAGGGTTTTATTAGTTGCTGTGTTATTTGACAATATGCAAGTATTTCCTAAGAAAATGGCAGTAAAATGTAGGATGTTCTGTATGGTTTTCTTCCCTTTCCCATAATCTGTTAAATGACTCATTATTTTGTGAAGCAGAAAACTGAGTGAACAACAGACTTTTGTATTATATGTGTATATAATATGTATTTTATGTGTATGTAATGTTTATTTTATATGTCTCTAAAACATTATCTATAAATAAAATATATAATATATATTATTATACTATATCTTATGTATAGTATAATATTTCTCCTCCTTTGTTATTTACTTTGTATCAGTTTCAGTGAAGAAAACTTGGAACAGGGTAGTTTGTGTCTTTTCACTGTCATTTGAAAGGAGTATTGTAATGCAGAGGAAACATGTTCATGTATATTTAGTTCTCTAAGGTAGTATTACCAAAAGTGAGCAATGTAAAGAAAGAATAGATAAGGAAGATGAGGAAAATATGTGGAACTGCTGCAGAAAGATGTATTCATTAATCTTTTGTGTGGAGGACCTGCCAGTGTTCCTGTAGCTCACAATCTTACAGTTTCAAGATCAATTTGAGACACCTCTTTTGTTGCAAAAGCCCCTTAGGAAGGGTTAGAAGGTTCTTCACTTCTGCTTATAAGCTTAAGAAAAAACAAAATATTAAAATATATTAACTGGATTGAAGCTAATTAGAGTAATTGTCTGAATTATGACATGAAATGGCAGACATTTCTGTGGAACAGAACGAGAATGGGAAGGATCTCATTTTGAAAAGGTTCTCATTTTGAAATGAAAACAATTAGTGCAAGGGCACGAGTATTGTTTATCTGAAAAGAAATTAAGCTTATTTGAACTCGTGTGGAAGTAAAGACACACAAAAAGTTCTTATTCTTTACCTAAGGGTAGCACACTTTATATATTTAGAAGGACATGCCACTAACCTATAAAAAATGCCTGTTTTCTTTGGATTCCTTGCTATGTCATGTCAGCGAGACAACGAAGTTATGGAGATCTGCAGATGAACATACTCTAAAAGCTGCAGCTGTGGCAGTTGTTTAGCTCTGCCTTAGCCCCTTCTAGAACTTGTGGTCAGTCTTAAAAGACACTAGTATGTCAGAGGACCTCCAGGCTGAGTCAGTATTTCTGTGGTATTGAAAAGAATATCGAATCTGTCTGAAAATCTGTCTGAAATCTGTCAGTGCTTAAAACCGCTTCGAAGTGTCAAGCACGAAGTTTGAATTTATGTTGTCTAGCCACAGTTCCCTGTGTTATGTAGTTTTGGCACTTGGTGTGGAAACTCTGCACTTGAGCTTGCTTTTAACGCTTTTAACAGGCATAAGGTTGTTGGGGTTTTTTTTTTGTCTGTTAGAATAGTTTTTGCTATCAGAGGTTCCTGAGGAACGATACAGCCAAAGATACTAGTCGAAGTCGTTCCGTCCTCCCCAGAGGGGCGATTATCAAATATTGCAGTGACCTTGCAAATGTTAGAGTAACAAACCAAACCTGGTCAGTGCTCCTCCTTCTGCGCGGAGATCTAATGGGAAAAGTTGGGTAGAAGCTGTTTGCAATCCCTTCTTAGTAAGGGATAATCTATCTCAACTATTAAAACTTGCTATTCCCAGGTATCTGAGTCTCTGGGACAAATTTCAAGGAGAGTTAAGACTTGGTTTTGCTTGTCAGGGTACATATTTTCTAATTATACTCAGAATGTTCACTGTGAATTAAGTCTCTTAGCAGCTTTTAACTTTTCTAGAATAAATCAGATGCTCGTAGGCAGTTTCTTGCAGTATCTGAAGTCTTGCTTTTTAAAAAGCCTTCTGTTACAAAATTCAGTTCACGAAGACAGATGTGTCATTACACCTTTTATTTGCTAAGTGCAACTACAGGATCCACTGCAATAGCCACGAAGTGTGACTAAGAATGTAAAGAAATAATAATGGGATAGGCAGGCAAGGGACAGGCCAGTATAGACCATATATACTTGATTTCCAATTCTGTCCTCCTTATAGGAAACCTGGGTAGTTAAAGGTAGTTTAACCTCAGTGAGACAAAAGCACCTGGTTATAGCAATTTCACAGAAGTGTTCAAATACATTATAAAGAGGTGCCAGATCCTTGATTGCCAAATTCCAAAATCCATATGGCGTTTATTGACTAAATGTGCCGGGCCACATCCCCTATTATTTCAGCATGCTTGTTGAATTCACCAGGTAGCTGTGTGAATGAAAATTAAATTCTTTCTTTTTCTTTTTTTTTTTTTTTTTTTGGAACTCCATTTTTAATAAAAGTGTAAACAGGAAAGGGAAAAGTGTGATGTCTGTAACCTCCTCCCTCTCCCTGAGCTGCTGGATTTTGCGGCTCGTATTTGCGTGCTGAGGTTTGCAGCCCAAATTTGCAAATTCTTGACAATCTCAACTAGCAAGACATTATAAATGACATACCCCCTTCATTCTGTTTATTTATTTATGTATTTATTTTGGTTTTTACTAACAAAGAGAAACAGATCTCTGCTATTTATTAAATGATGGTTGAAGAAACTCCCATACTTGTGTTTCAGAAGATTGGTAAGGATTGGGGAGTGCATCAAGAGGACGCCCAGGTATGAGCTAAGACAGATACATTTTGCTACTATTGATGTTTGATTTTTTTTTGTTTTCTTCAAGTAAGGCAAAACAATTTACCTCTTGTCAAATGAAATTGTAACTCCATGAGTGACATACTAAGAGATGCCTTTTATTTTTTTTTTCTTGTGAAGTGTTTGATACCTTGTAATAACCCTACTGAGCAGAATCCAGAAGAAAGCAAATTATATGTTCTAGTAGTCTGCAGTATGTATGCAGATACTAGAATAAAGATAAATGGTGTAGAATAAATCATTCATTTAGGGAAAAAAATATTAGCAGATTGGTACCATTCAGATGAATATATGAGCCTTATGGTGACCGAAAGAACACGTTTCAGAATGTCCAATCGAAATCTCAAGTCCAACAATGCGTTGACATGATTTTGGTTTTTTGTACACAGAGTTTCTTTCACCCACGCCCCTCCCAAATAGGTGAATAAGGTTCTAATGTTCTAGTTCTTCAGTGACAGTGAAGGGTGATTTTTTTTGTTGTTGTTGTGTGCAGGAGAATATTTATTGTTTCACGGAGGCAGACTAAATATTTTGATCATGTGGCAGTAACATTTTCAGATCCTTTTTAATTAGAAAGCTAAGTTAAAGTCGCATGGCTAATTTTAGCTCTGCTTTTTCATGAAGAAAAAAAAAAAAAAAGGAAGATTTAAAGCTGAATTCTACTCCTTGTGAACAGTTTGGTGAATGACCCGTTGCAGCAAAGGCCCCACATCATTGCCATTCAGAACACAGCAAAGAGCAGTAGCAGGGGCATCATAAACTTGAGAAGCTTGTTTGGTTTGATGGGCAGAGTTACAGAAAAAAAAGAAATAAAATTCAAGTGGGAAATGGTGAGGAGAAAAGGGAGAAAGCTGCTCCCTGTTGAAAACCCTTGAGAACAGGTAGATTTGCTATTGCTGGGGACAGCGTCAGTGCTGGGAATGTTGTGATTAAAAAAAAAAAAAAATATCAGAGTTTTGATGGTGTCTGATCTTCTAAAGTGCTCAGCCTCTGTGTGCCCAAATGACCACACTGATCAATGGTTTAACATGCAAGAGTGTTAAGGCAGTGAATGAGAATCGTAGCTGTGTGTGCAGGGTAGGAAACTGCTTGTTTAATAGGGGATGGTCCCACTGAGGTGAGAGCAACAGAACAGCATCGTATCTGCCCTGGTGTAAAACAGATTTGAATAATCGAAAGTATGGTCTGGAAAAGTATCTTTTTATCAGGTAATAATCAGTATAAATCCTTCTCACAAACTGTTTGCTCTCAGTATTCTGTCTGTCTCATGAGGAATTGAATGTTCTTTCGACCAAACACATCATTCTTTATTAATCAATTATGTACCTGTGCTGAATTTCAGATTAAGAGATGATAGGCAACCTGGAAACAATTACATGTTTGTTCTATCCTACCTTTTTAAAAAAAAATCTCAGAGAAAAAAAAAAAAAAGCTCTGTAACAATGAACTAGACGAGATACAAACACATAGTTGTTAAGCTGGTAAAAGTAGATACTTCTTCCACATTGAACTCATTCATGTGCCAACACCCCTTGAATTTCTTGTGTGTGAGTGCCTTGAAGTTACTGATAACATTTTACATATTTAACGAGATGCTAATAGATTTTCATTGCATCAGTCCTTTCACATCTAGAGGTCTTCGTCCCTAAATCTTTAGAGTGGTTGGGATTTTTGTTTACAGCTAGTGCTTTGATTCATCTCAGACACCACAGAGGGTGGCAGCAGAGCCTCTCTGCACAGATATGCTTGGACTTCTGGTCCAAGGGGAGAATCCGAGCTCTTGGATCATTCCTAGAGGCACAAGAGATGCAGGTTGTAAACACCCACTGTTGTACTACTCACTCAGAAGTTTCTGATTGAAAAATCCCATTGAAAGGCTGTTTTGTCCTTGCAATTCTAATTTTACCAGTTCTTTAATGTAATGTAGGATCAGGTAATGTAAACTGTATCCCCCTAGCTGTCTCTATCCACAGACCCATTTTATTAATAATATTAGGTATGCAGCTCTTAAATTCCTTTTCCATTACATGGTAAATTCCATAGTATTATGTG